ATCATACAATCCCACTGGGTAGCTCGAATGGCTTTTGGCACCTTTTTTCTTTTATTTTTTTCCTCTTCCTTCTCCCTCTTTTTTTCATTCCTCTTCTTCCTCTATTCTTTCTAAATCCAAATTCAAATCAAATTCATTTTTTTTTTCATTTTCCTCCCTCCTCTTGTCTTCCTCTTCTTCATTCTCTCTCTCTTTTGCCTCCCTCTTCTGGCCAGCCAACAGTCTAGAAAGAAGAAGAAGAAAGAAGAGAAAGGAACTCAACTCTTCTGCCGTGCTCAATTATTGTGTCGTGAACCCACACATTCCATTTCAAAAAAGAAAAAGAAAAAGAAAAGAACAGATAGTAGAGAGAGAGGAGCACCGACTCTCGGTAACCTAGCGAAACAATGAGATTGGGCTGTTGTAAGAAGATTTCTTTAGACTGCATACAAAGATGTCTGATCTTTGGCTTTGAAAGCCGCACTTGCTTCCCTGGTCTACCTCAAACTTTGAGCAATCAATTAATTATACCATCAAGAACCACATGTTCCATAACTCAAAATCAAAATCAAAATTTGTTTTTATTGAAAAAATTTTAAGCTAGTCTGCCATAAAACCATTCGGTCGGCCAACTTTTTTTCTTTTGACAATCTGAAAAAATTAGAGGAAGAAGAGATTCATCATGATTACATAGACACATGTTTTTACAGTTATAATTCTCAAAACTATATTCAACAGCAGTTTAACAAAAAAAATCAAACAAGAAAAAAAAAATCCAAAATCCAAATCAAAATCTAAAATAAAAACCAAATCCAAAACCAAACTCACAGCCACAAAGGAGAGGAAAGGAAAGATATAGAGCAGAGAGGAGAGGAAAAATCAAAAAAATCAAACAAGAAAAAAACTCAAAATCAAAGTCAAAATCTAAAATCAAAACTAAATCCAAAACCAAACTCACAACCATAGGAGAGGAGAGAAAGGAGATAGAGCAGAGAAGAAAGGAAAAATCAAAAAAATCAAACAAGAAAAAGTCCAAAATCAAAATCAAAATCCAAACCCAAACCCAAACCCAAACCCATAGCCGTAGAGGGGAGGAGAGGAGAGAAAAGAGATAGAGCAGCGAGGAGAGGAAAGAGAGAGAGAAGAGAGAGAAAATAATGGCTTTTCCGGTCACTCGAACCTCCAAAATTTCGAGCTATGAAGCAATTTTCGTTGTCATATGGCCTACACCACATAAAAAAAGTTTTGGGATCATCAACAACTGCTGTATCCCAATTGCTACATAGTTAACAATTAAATTTAATTGAGGGAATTTCAACATCATCGGAAAAAAAAAAAAGAAAAGTTTTTGGGTCATACAACTGTTGTGTCCCAAATGCTCCATGTTAACAATTGAATTTCAACCAATATTAGGTAGAGAACTTCAAAATAAATTATAATGCATATGAGATTTTAAAAACTTAAGAGGATATTTTCTTAACATAATAATACCCATATCTAATGTGTTGTTCTTTATATGTTTAGTTTATCTCATTGGAATTGTCTACATTATGCATTCTCACGGCAACAAATTAAAATTTTAAAATAAAATTAATTTTTAGAATAAAATATTTTAATTATCAAAAATATCATTGTTATATTTTTAATGACATAATTAGTTTATCTCATTTGAACAATATAATTACAAACTCATATTCATTGAATATCTAAAATCTCACGCCATTAGTACTGCATAGCCAGTGGACCAAATAACTTCACTCAACCAAAAAAGAAAAACAAAAATGATTTATGCACCAAATTTGAATTTGTTTGAATCGCTTGAATTTGTGTATGTTGGACGATCACCTAGACGACTGGTGCAATCTTTGTCAATCGCGATTGTTGCCCTTGTTACCGGATGACCGATCAGATGACCGACATGCATAAATTCTGGCAATTCAGATAAATTAAAATTCCATAAATATAGCATTGCTCAAAAAATAATTTGATTGGTATTTTTTTGTTTTTTGATTTTTTTAAACCAGAAGCAATAGTAAATTTGCTCGAAGGACATAGACACATACCCAATCACAGGCAATCAAGAATTTGACTGGTCACTTGTTTTTTTTTATTTTGAAAAGTTTGTTAAAAATTAATTTTTTAATTTTTTTAAAAAAATATATAAAAAAGAAGGCTTTGTTTGGCATCACCTATAAAAATTAAAAAGCCAAAAAGTCACTAAAAAAGCAAAAAATCATACTATTCACCTATATTTTGGCGTGAAATCTATTGGATCAAAAAAAAAAAAAAAGGGGGGGGGCACTTTTTTAAAAATCAAATCCCGTTCCACCTACTTATGTTCTATTTACTTCACATTATTTTCTTATATTCCAATAAGTCCTATGAGTGACATAGTTACCAAAATACCCCTAATGATATTCACATTTACAATGTGAATGTTCCGTAATGTGAATGTTCACAATATCAATGTAAAAATTCACACCATCAATGTGAATATTAACATGTTAATGTGAATATTCACATTATAAAATATGAATGTTCACATCACCAAATTGCTAACCGTTCAAAAAATATTTGTAAGGGTAGAAATGTCCATAAATATCTTAATTATGAGAATTAGGATTTGGTAGATCAAATGTCTAAATAATAGGACTTATTAGAATATAAGAACATCTTATGGATTAATTGGGATACAAACACTTGAAAAAAGATTTTTTGATAAATTTTCCAAAAAAAGAAGAAGAAAACAGTTCAGGCTGTGCAGTCACAAAATAGCAGCCACAATTTCCCATAAAAAAAGAAAACATAGCACAATGTAAGCCACATTTCCATAAAAATAAAAATAAAAATGAAAGGAGAGAGAAAGTCAGCGCAGCAACAATGACGGTGTCAGGAAGGGTAATTTGGTAATTTTGATATTTGCTACAATATTTTATTTTATATTTTTTTTGTAAAATGTCAAAAAGTTTTCCAAACATACATCTTTTTTTTCTCTACTTTTTTAGTAGAAAAGTCAAAAAGTGCACTTTTTTAATTTATCCCAAACACCCACTAAATGAATGATATGATCTAAAATAAGTTAAAAATTAATTTTTGACTTTTAATCAAGTTTCTAAATTAAGCCTATGTCTTAATTATCTCCATGGATAGAATTGACATACAAGCGATGAAAACTCATAAAATTATTCAGTTTAGAGTTTTTAAAAATTATTTTTTAAATTTTCAATTCATCTTATTTTTAGTGAATATTTTTAACTTTTTAATCATTTTTTTTTACTTTTTACTTTCACTTAATTTATACACATTTAAAAAAAATAAAAATTGTGAAAAAATCTTTAAAAAATTTACAAATACAAAATATAAAAATTAATTTATTATATATTTTATCTTTATTGAATTTTTTTTTAATTTTAAGAATATTTTAATTTTTAAGCCTATCTAGATTAAATAAATCTAAAAAATAAGAAATATTTAATTACAATATTTAAAAAAAAAATTATTAAAATAAAAAAAACACAAATTAAGAACTTAAAAAATCAGTAGAAACACAGAATAATAAACTAATCCCTAATAAATGGCAATACCGTAATAACCCACCTCTCTAATAAAACAATCCCTAATCGTCATAATCAAGAGCAACGTTAGAGCTTCACTTGTCTTTGATCTTGGAATTACTTCAATTTTTCAGTCAAACCAGTCATCTGCACAAACCCTAATTGTTTCGATTCAATTCGATCTCGTTCTTGCTCTTCCCTGCCAACTGGTTGCTATTTTGTGCATTTTTCATCTACAAGAGCCAGAGAGTAATATTTCAAAGGTTTTTCTTTCTTCATTTCCACTTCTATTTACAATTTTCAACTATAATTTTGTTCTCTCTCTTCAATTTTATTATAATTTTGCTTACCCAGAAAGCTTTGTAATCTCCTCCTGTGCAACTCTATTATAACTCTGTTGTGTTGAGCAATTACCAGAACAATATTCTCTGTGTTCTGTTTTCATTTTACCAATCTCTCTTTCTTCTTTTCTGTTTCTGTTTTGGTAAAAAAAAGTTCTCGTTTCTATATTCAACCTTGTTTGCCCAAAAAAAAAACTCTGTACCCCCTTTTGATTTTGCTCAGTGTCCATTTCCTAATCTTTGTTCAACCATTATCTAAACACCCCTTTTCGTTGCCGACTTAAAAAAAAAAAAACTTCGTATCCCTTTTTTGATTTTGCTCGGTGTTCCTTTCCTATCTTCATATTCTTCTCTTTGTTCTATTTCCTCATTTCCATTTTGATTGTTGTCCCACAAGATCTTTGTTCTGTTCTTGTTTCACATTTTTCATTGCACAATTCTCAGAAAAAAAATACTTGAGAAGGGTGGGGTGGGGGCATATTTGAAACAGGTGAGAAATGATCTTGAACTTTGTTCTTCCCATAGAAATGAAGATTGGAGAATATCTAGTTGCTCCAGTTGGTCGCCAGTTTGGCTATTTGTTTTCATATGAGAGAAATATTAAGCATCTGGAGAAGCAGGTCCAAAAGCTGGAAGATAAAAGATTTGGAGTACAAAAATCAGTTGAAGAAGCAGAGACAAAGAGAGAAACTATTGCACCAGATGTCGAGCGGTGGTTGAAAACAGTGAACGAACTCAACGAAGAGGCTAAGAAATTCCTCCAGGTTGAATTGAAAGCAAACGAAGGGTGTCTGAATGGGCGGTGTCCAAATTTGAAGTTACGATACTCCTTGAGCAGAAAAGCTACAAAGGAAACTCAAATTGTGGAAGAGCTACGTGGAGAAGGAGATTTCTCTAGAGTGTCCTATCCTGCAGTTGCACCTTCTGTGGGGACAACATTTGCATTCACTGGAGGTTTTAAGGGGTTTGAATCTAGAAGTTTGACTATGAATGGAGTTATGGAGGCACTGACAAATGATAGTATCTATGTGATTGGGATATGTGGGATGGGAGGGGTTGGTAAACAGCTATGGTGAAAGAAGTTGCCAAGAAAGCGGAAGAAAAGAAGATGTTTGATAAAATCGTGATGGTAGTAGTGTCCCAAAACCCAGATTTGATTAATATTCAAGGTGAGATAGCCAAAATGTTGGGTTTTGAATTATCTGGGGGAAACAATTTATTTGCCAGGGTAGGGGAACTAGGATCAAGAATATTGACGGCAGGAAGAATCCTTGTAATATTGGATGATGTTTGGAAGAGACTAGGATTGAATGATATTGGAATTCCGTGTGGAGATCATTACAAGGGTTGCAAAATTGTGATGACTTCAAGAAGTGAAGATGTATGCATTGGCATGGACACAGATAAGAATTTCAAGGTTGGCGTCTTAAGTGAAAAAGAAGCACGGAATCTTTTCAAGGAGATGGCTGGAATTTCTAACGACGGTACAAGTCACCCAACTGATTTGCAGTTGACACAAATGGCAGTTGCGAAGGAATGTGGAGGCTTGCCGATTGCTATTGTTACAGTCGCGAGGGCTCTTAGATGCCAAAAAAAAACCTTCATGGGATTCTGCTCTTGAACAAATGCGAAAGTCTATGGTCAAAAACATTACTGGAGTAGGTGAAAAGGTGTTTAAACCTCTGAAGTTGAGTTATAATTACTTAGAAAGTGAGGAAGCTAAGAAATGCTTTTTGTTTTGTTCCTTATATCCAGAAGATTTTGATATTCCAATCGAAGATCTTGTCAGATATGCAATTGGGATAGATTTGTTTGAGCACATTGATAATGTGCGCCAAGCAAGAGACAAGGTATATTCCATAGTTGATGATTTACAAAAATGCTATCTATTGCTGGATAGTTAAAAAAAAAGTGTCAAAATGCATGATGTCATACGTGATGTGGCTATATCAATTGCATCCGGGCAACATTCGTTTATGGTGAGATGTGACGAAGTATTAGAAGACTGTCCAGAGAATGATCGACTAAAAAATTATGCTGTAATTTCATTAAAACTTGATGGTATGCATGGGCTTCCTGGTAATTTAGAATTTCCAAATCTCAAGCTTCTATAGCTGGATTGCAATGCTAGATTACCACGAATCTCATATGATCTCAACAAAAGAATGGAGGTCAAAGTACAAGAGACCCAAGATAGTTTCTACCAAGGAATGAAAGAACTTAAAGTGCTAGCTTTATCCTATATGTACAGCTCATTGCCGACATCACTTGGATGCTTGATCAACCTCCGAACCTTGTCACTTTTTCGTTGCCGGCTTATTGATGATGATATCTCTGTAATTGGAGCATTAGAGAATCTAGAAATTTTGAGTTTTGCTGGCTCTTATATCAAGGAATTGCCGAAGGAAATAATAGGTCACCTTGCTTACTTGAAGGTACTTGATTTGTTGGGATGTATAGTGGAAAGGATTTACCCCGGGGTTTTGTCAAGCTTATTAAAGCTAGAAGAGCTGTATGTTGGAACCACCTTTCAACGGTGCTGTAAAGTTGAAGAAAGCAAAGAAGGTGCTAAAGCAATTATCGATGAGCTGGCGTCGTTGTCCAATTTGGTGGCTTTGGATATTGCTCTAATAAACATTACCTTCTGGCCGAGAGGTTTGGTCGTTGAGAAGGTAAAAAAGTTTAATATAGTTGTTGGCGTGACTGACTTTGACTACATCCTTGACCCTTGTTATTCGTTATCAAATCTGTTGGAGCTTCAAGTTCAAAATGTGAGTGACATTATTGAAACAAGGCTTAATTTGCTGTTGAAGGGCACTGAAATTCTGGATGTAAACTCAAGAACAAAAGGTTTGAAAATTCTGTGTGATTTGGTCGATGAAGATGGGTTTGAATGCTTAACGAAGTTGAGCCTACAATACTTGTATGATTTACCTCATCAATACAGCAGATGGGGTTCCACAGAGTGCTTTCCCTGTGTTAGAGTTTCTGAATCTTCATGATCTACATAATTTCAAAGGGATTACCAGTCATGAACGCCGACTACCGAACAAGGCTTTCAGTGCATTGAAAGTGTTGGTAATGGAATTCTTGTCTGAACTGACAAATTTGTTGAAGGGTCCCACCCAACTTGTATGGCTTGGCAACCTGACGTCTGTACATGTGTGGCCTTGTGAGAAACTGGAAAATATGTTCTCACTTTTCATAGCTAGAGATCTAGTGCAACTGCAGGACCTTTCCATAGGACGCTGTGATATGATGGAAATTATTGTTTCGATTGAAGGAGGAGAGCATGAAATAGCAACAGATAAAATTGAGTGTCCTAAACTAAAGCAATTGCATCTTAGAAACCTGCCAAGTTTTACTGCTATCTGCAAAGCTATGAATATAATTGAGCTGCCACAACTGAGTTACTTGGTACTGCAGGAAATACCAAAGCTGAAGCATCTCTGGCCTGCTTCAGATTCAGAGAGCAATTGTGATCCCATCATTCAACCCCTCTTCAACAACAAGGTATGCTTCTCTTATTTAAGAGCTTAATTAATTGCTAATTTGTGAACAGCTTTGAATTTATTTACTATTATATCTCTATTGGAGGTTTATTTTTTTTCATAATTGTGTACTAAGATTGTGTGCATTACTTTCACGCCATATTCAATATAAATTGTGTTTTACATACATTTGTGTTTATATATCTCTAATCATACCAAATAAAAAGTAAAATTTACCAACCAAATTCCTAGGCGTAAAATCTATACAAAATGATGTGATAATTGTATTTTGACAATTTTGAGCCGTAATAATCGATGTTTTGCATTGAAGTGAGAGGACCACATAAGGTCCCATTGTTCTATATAAAAAACTTTTATTATAAAAAATAAAAAATAATTAAATTACCAATTATTTTATCAACTAGTCACGTGTGTGGGACCCTACTGACATGTGAGTAATTAGTAAAACAGGGGACAGTTTGGTTTGTAAATGTAGCAAAATTCTTTTAAAAAAATAAAAAATATATGTTAAGAGCATAATAATAGGGAATGCATCTCTCCAGCAGTTTGGCCCACTGTGAACCCACCTTAGACCCATCTTGACAATTCAAATAATTCATCTTGTTTGACCCGTTAAGCAGATTATTTGTATAAAAAATTAGGTTGATTGGGTAATAAGAGTCACTGGATTAGATCACATTTGTATAAAAAATAATTAACAAATAGTAAAACTTTTCAATTAGTCTATCAGTTTTTTTAGACAAATGAGATCTGATCAATTTGATTTTTGGCTTGAATGATCTTCTAGGAGGGTCATACAAAATGAGCCATTTCGATCACTAAAAAATGACGCCCAATTAGTACACATTAATGTGTGTTTGGGAGGGAAAATATTGGGTACACATCTAACTTTTGGCATAATGCACAAAGTGGTTCCAAAACCTCATGGTTATTAGGTTAAGATTTTACCATTAAACTTCTATCACTACGACAAATTAATATTTTAGAGATAAAAATTTGGACACGAAATCTCTTTCTGGAGACTCAAAAAGTAAACCCTTTTGCACCAAATTGTTTTGTTTCTAAAATTACATTTATTAGTGACAGTTTCAAATTTTGTCACTATAGTCCTTATTTTACTTTTTTGGACAACCTTTTCCTGACTGCTGTAATTTGCATCCTAATATTTTTTATAATAATATTTTTATTTTTTAGGATGAAAATGTTTTTCCCTAGAACTTTTATATGTTATAATGGGTCATAGAGGTGTGGCCCTAATAATATGCGATTGACTCATGGATAAACCTTTCCCTTCCAAATTAGAGAATATATGCCACTATAAAATTAAAATAAGGTTCAAAAAATTAATCAATTTAAAAAATATATATTTGAATAGTTTCAACTTTAAAATACTCACTGAAAATATCCTTGGTAAATTAACTTAATTCTTCATTCATATTGTACTGATCATACATGAATAGAGATATAATTAAACATTATAAAATAAGTGTAATTTATTTTGTTCTAATTATAGCTTGAGACATTAAACTTTATAAAATAAAAGTGTATACTCTGGGTTATATAGGCTATAGTTAAGTTAGCATCTATGCAAATTTTTTGTTTATTCATTATATAGTCAATGTAACTATATATAAAAAAAAAGATTTATTTAGACAATTTATATATTAGAAACTTACAACTATTTATAAGAAAAATACAATGTGTATGACAAAGATCAATCTGAACAGTTTTGAAGATTAATATAACGACACTAAAGATTTTCTAAAGAAAAGTTAATACTTACAATTCGTAAAAAGGATATCCTATGGTGTGCATACTATATGCACCCTACCATAAAAATGTGTACTTTTGTTACAAATTAGCTTAACAAAATATCGAAAATTTTGTGGTTGATGTTGCAAAAATTTGTGGCTTGGTTATGTCATTTTTTTTTATGTCGATTTGTGATGAGATTACGCATTTTGTGATTGACGTTATGAAATTTTTTGATAAAATTACATATTTTGTGATAGAGTGCACACCATAGCATTTCCTTCTGTAAAATAGAGACTTGAACTAATTGTTCAATGGGACTTCCAGGATTATAAGAAAATATTTGGGGCTCATTATTGGACAAACGTATGGGATTTTCTATTGAAAACCCCTATTTATAAAGCATGAATCTGATAAAGTTGTTTAATATATTGAAGGTTCTTAAAATTATTATTACAAATTAAGGCTAATCTATATAGATTTGAAATATATTGATCAACGAATGTAGGACAAATTATGTTGATAGTCCCTACATTTTGCTGCTTGTGTCATTTTAGTCTTACAGATTCAATTAGCTCACTTTTGACCATTAATTTTAAATTTTGCTTCAATTTGGTCCAATTAATAATGTTGATAGAGTTTTTGACTGAAAATTTCATGGAATTGTTTGATGTTAAGTCACTAAATTGATCGAGCTTACAATTTGGCTTATAAAAATATGACAAATGCTACTCATGTGCACATTCGCCATAACAGAATGTTAACAATTGGAAGCAATTTGACCAATTTGAGACAAAATCAAAAGTTCAGGGTCAAAATTGATCAAACTGAAATTGTAAGGACCAAAATGACACAAGAACTAAAGTACATAGACTAACAATGTAATTTGCTCAAGAATCTATAAGTTAACACAATTTTAATTTTTAAGGTTAATCACACTTTGTGCCCCTAAAGTATTACCAATTCATTTTTTTGGCCTTTTTTATTTCCCAATTTAGTAATTATACCATTGAATTTTGGGTAAATTACACTGACCTTTTTTGAAGTTTGAATAAAATACAGAAAATCCCTTAATTTTGACATAATTACAATGATATTTTTTTAGAAAGTTTAAAGAGACCAAAATCGATGCTGATGGTATAAAGACACAAAGATAAACAAATTAAAATATTCATTTTAATGTAAAAGAGATGATAACATCATTTTTTTCATTTATACGACTAACAAATTTTAATATGATGACATGGGGACCAAGTGTTAGCTGAATTAAAGCTTTAAAATAATCTGGTATAATGATGTAAAACCTATGAGATTTACTGTATTTTCTTTAAACTATAAGAGATGCCAGTGTAATTTACCCTTGAATTTATGTTAGTGTGGTCTCTTTGGAAGATTTTAGAATATTCTACTTTCAATGCAAATTAAAATTAACTTTTCAAATGGGTCTTGAACTAATTGTTCAATGGGACTTTGAGGATTATAAGACAATATATTTATTATTGTACAAGTTCAACCTATGGGATTTTCTATTTAAAACCCCTGTTTATTAGAGGTGTACAAAAAAAATGGTGGAATCAATAAATCAATCAAATCCGGTCTAAATCATCGTTTTGTTCTGGTTTTTATTAGCTTTGATTTTGGTTCTGAAGTGAACTGAACTGTGACGTATTTTTTTATTATTATTTTTATATTTTTATATGTAAAAATTAAAGTATAAAAAGTTTTTTTTTTTTTATAAGATTTGAACACTAGCCCTTCATTGTGAAATTGATAAATTCTAACCAACTTTAACAAATTAATTATCATTAATTTGTTTACTAACATAAAATATATATTATATTTATTGTTATATAAAATTTCTAAAATCGTAAAATCACACCGAACCAAACTGGTTTCTATGGTTCGGTTCTAGTCCTGTTTCACAATTTAACGGTTCGGCTATGGTTTTAATTTTTCTGGAACCGGTTCCTGTGATTTGGTTCCTGGTTTTCTCTAAAATCAAACGAATTTAATCCGTGTACACCCTAACTGTTTATGAAGCTTGAACATGATAAAGCTTTTTAATATATTGAAGGCTCTTCAAATTAGGGTAGATTACATTGATAGTCTCTGTATTTGGGTCTTTGGGCTTGTTTGGTAGAGTTTTTTTTACAGCTTATTTAAGCTTTTAGCTTAATTTAAGCTATTTCATTGTGTTTGGTGTAACTTAATAATATAGATTATAGCTTTTTGTAAGTGAAAAATCAATTTTTTGTTGAAGTGGCTATGGGGGTGCTTAATTCTTTAGCTTTAGCGGCAAGCTAGGAAGGGAGGGGCAAAATTACTTAAATGCCCCTTATTAACTTCAATTATTACCAAAAAGTAAGATATAAACCCATAGCCAAACACTGTTCACATCCTATGGTAAACCAAATGAAGGATAAAGACGTGATTATTGTGACACTACTAAAAATAATTGGAGAACTGTTGATGAACCAATTAAGCTCCATGGAATCCAAATGGAATAACTGCCAACAAGCCCATTCCTTGTATAAATATTTTGCACAATCACTTTTTCATATTTTTAGAACAAAAAAATTATTAGGAAAAATTACATTGACATCCCTTGAGATTTAGAAACAACACAGCAAATTTTACAAATTTAGCATAATTACATTAGACTCCTTTTAGTATTTTGATTCACAAAATACTTAGCCCCTTTTTCATTGATAATTTGTCAATCATATGAATTGAAAAATGGGACTGTCATCTCTTTTATACTGAAATATGTATTTACAGTGTTTATTTTTGTGTTTTCACATCATCTGCATTCGTTTTGGTCTTTTTAGACTTATTAAAAGAGAGGTCGGTGAAATTATGTAAAAACTGTGAGACTTATATTTTCTCTTCAAATCTCAGGGGAGATTAGTGTAAATATATAGATAGCTAGCTCTTACATGAAATCACATTTAATTTTTCCATTTGGCGACTCCAGTTTTTAATTTCTTAACAAAGGATGTAATATATATAGTTGAGGCATCTATGTTGGATATGTGTTTGACCTCCAATATTAACTTGATAATAGATATTTGTGTCTTGCAAAGCCTAAAAAATGCTGCATTCATTAGACACAAGCACATTGAACGTAATAAGCTTCTAACTAGTCTTTAATGTCTTTTATTTTCAAAATTTGATTGCAGGTGATTTGTTAGAATAATGCTATATGTACTAATTAGTGTACTAATTGATAATTTGGCATAATTTAAAAGATTTTTGAGATTTGTAATATGATTAATGAGTAGGGTCAATAATGTCATAACTAGTGTTGGTACACTAGTTAGTTCACTAATTGGTGTATGTAGTATCACCGGATTTGTTATGCTTTTCTTAATAAAGAAGTTGGAGAAATAGATATTGGTCCTATTTATGAAGAAACCAAGGCTACAAGGTGTTCTTCTATATGAAAACTGTTTAGTTGTTAGGATTACATTTTATCTATTGTTGGGTTTGTATAAGTAGTGTGTCATCTCATTGGTTGGGTTGATTGTGCTAGCATAGCTTTCTCTGTTGTGGTATAACTGGATTGACTTTATTATAAACCATGTAATAATTTGTGTGAATTTGATAAGTGTGCTTTGTGTGAAATTGTAACAATGACATCATGAGTGATTGTCAATATCCTTAAATAAATTTGTAGATTATTTTCTCTACGTGTGTTTGTGTATACAGAATATGAAAGTAAATAAAGGGGACTGAAAGAAGCTCCATCAAATCTTAATAAAGATTGATTGATCTTTGATTAATCTTAAACCTGCAATTTATTGTCTAGCCCATGTTGCCATCTTTGTTTAGCTGCCCTTGAACTATATATGGTGAAAAAATTTAGAGAGTTAGTTATCAAAATCATAGTTATATTAATTACTAAACAAAATTCATAGATATATGCATAATTGGCTGCAAACATTAAACATACAATGCCCTATTATCTACCTGCAGGGGTGACGACTATTTCTGGGGAAAAACTCACTTTTTTCCTCTTTGTTTTAGCTATATTCAATATTTCCCTCTTTTTTGTTCCTTCTCTTTTTTCTCCGAATTCAACACTCCTTTGGTACGTTCTCTTTTCCCTTTCAATCTGCTCTTGAAAAATGGAATGGTGGATTAACATAACACTATATTGGGAAGAGCATATATGGGGTTGTTTGAAATAGGGTTATGATTTGGTTCTCTCTGGCCATATCAGAAATTCAATTAAATTTTGTTTTTGAATTCGATTGATCTAATTTCCTTCAAACCTTTCTGGAAATCTATAACAGAGTACTCCTGAATCTGAAATCATGCTTTGGCCCATAATGCAACTCTAGTGTTGGCTATGATATAAGAAAGAAAAATCTATAAATACCTCAAAAAAAAGCACTTTGTATCCAAGTTGAGAAAAGCCAGCAATGATATGATCTGCCTACTCCAAGTAGTCCTACTGGTTTTTCTGGGTTCTATTTCCTAATAAACTCTCGAGCCAAACAGGTTTCCAAATAATAACCCTACTCCAAAAATATGTTATCATCAATTCCTAGTAATCAATCAAGGAGCTACATGGTAATATTATTCACACATTACCTAATTCGCTACATGGGAATATTATTCACACATTACCTAATTTGAGTATTC